ATCTTTTAGCTTTTCGAAACTTTCACAAGTACTTTAGACAAGATTTCGCTATATTATGTCATTTTCGGCAAAATATTGCTCATTTGCATAGGTTACCTAGCAACAAACATGGCGAGTTCGTGTGAATTTCGTGTGTACAGTATGTTCCACGCATTTCGCGGTCTAGTCATGCCCTTTGAAATCAGCATGACCAAGTAAATATATTTTATAGTAGAAATACTGGCAATCTGATTGGATAATGGCAACTGCGCATGCTCAAACGCGCTGTTTCGCAACATCTAGTCATGCTCATTTTCCAGAGCATGACTTGAGCCTTTGTCCTTTGATACAGTCTTTCTGTTCGAGATAATTCACGCTCGAATTAGTCGAATACTCCGTTCAGGTGTCAACTGATCAAGGTAAGTGAATTCGCATTGTATTAATTTGCATTTTAATGGCTTCAGGAAGCGTGACGGCTTCCACAGAGGCAGATATTATATTAAGTGGTATGCTGAAGAAACCTTAAATTCTCTGCTCGTCAATCAGGCGAGCAAAATATAATTGTAACACAACGGCCAATGCCGAATTTACAATCGATCACTGGAGATAGAAGCTCTCAGGAGAGTTGATACACAAAGAAAGATTGGCTTTGTGGTAGTTTTACTGTATAACCAAGAAGGCAATGTTTTGCTGGCCATATTAAATATGCACCTATCAATGTTTAATAAGCGCCAGAGGTGGGGGGGGGGTGTTAGAGCATATGTGGGGTACTGGGGCATTTGATTCTTTGAGCAAATTTTCAATCAAATGCCCCACCGTCGGGCAATAAATATTGGTCAAATACTTCACCATTTTGCAATAAATTGCAATAAATACTATATTAATAAAAGTCATTTCGTTCACATTGCCCTGACTCAGAGGCCCACCAAGGGGTTATGACCGACGGGGTGGCGACAGACTATGTACAAAAGAGTGACAAACGACAGCTTCTGACTGGGAAAAAGCGAGAAATTGTGATTTGTGTTATGGGTCAAAAGTGACAGTGACATTTATTGCAATAAAACAAGCGACAAAGCAGCTACAAAATGAGTGACAAGCAACCTGGGTTACACCCTTGATGGGCCTCAACTCAGGCCCAAAATGGTAATCAAAATCCCCAGGGTGGGGATGCAATTGATTATAAAATACCCCACATATGCCTGACCCCCCTCAGAGGCTTACCATTGATAGGTGCATTATTATAATCCCTTGAAATTATATCAGGGAATATTAGATTTATAGGGGAAATATCTACATGAAAGTGGTGACCTCAAAATAAAATTTAATATTTCTTTTACCATAATTACCAATATCAGAGTTATACGCCTGTATTGTAAAAGCTCACTCACACTCAATGAGTGGCGGTTTAATCTGAGCTTACCTTGAGTGTCAATGTTGTTTTTGAATAGGTGGAGGGTGAGTAGTCACATAGTAAGGTTCGACACTAACTCCCCAGCTTTGCCAAAACAGCAATGGCACTCAAGAGAAGCTCAGATCGAACCTCCACTCATTGAGTGTGAGTGAGCTCTTAGCTAGAATACAGGCGATAGGGGAAATATCCACTGAAATGTGGTGACTCATGATATAACTATTCCTGGGGAGATAACCACTTGACTTAAGTGTGGTGACCCCAAAATATAATTTCATATCTTGCTTTTGCTATAAGGTCTATTAATTTTTTTAATAAAATGACCAGAGTTATAAGGGAAATATCCACTCAAATGTGGTGAGTCCATGATATAACTCTTCCTCGAGAGATAACCACTTGACTTGAATGTGGTGACCCCAAAATATAACTTCATTTACATGACCAGAGTTATAAGGGAAATATCCACTCAATGCGGTGAGCCCATGATACAACTCTTCCTGGGGAGATATTAAACCACTTGAATGTGGTGACCCCAAAATATAATCTCATATTTTACTGGCTATAAGTTTTATTTTTTTATTAGATGACCAGATTTATATGGGAAATATCCACTCAAATGTGGTAGCTCATGATATAACTTTTCCTGAGGAGATAACCACTTGACTTGAATATGTGGTCACCCTAAAATTTAATTTCATATCTTTTATTGCTATGAGGTCTATTAATTTTTTTATTAGATGACCAGAGTTATAAGGGAAATGTCCACTCAAATGTGGTGAGCCCATGAAATAACTCTTTTTGGGGAGATAACCACTTGAATGTGGTAACTCCAAAATATAATTTCATATATTTCTTTTACTATAAGTTTTATTTTTTTATTAGATGACCAGTGTTATATGGCAAATATCCACTCAAATGTGGTGGCTCATGACGTGATGACATGTGGTGACACATAATTTCCATGTTATTCTTTCACTATTTCTATTATTCTATATTGATTAGACTTGCACAGAAAATTGCACCAGTCTTCACCTCACCGGTACAGAAAGTTTGTCTCGCATTTACATATTAGTCTATGGCTTATTGTATGATTTTATGTACTTCTTTTTCTAGTGCAGCATCATAACTTTTTTATTATTGTTTGCAGTTTGCACCCAATCTGAGCCAGTAATAACTCGTTTGAGTTATTTGTAATGTAATTAGTAGTGCTGTTCATGCTGAAATAAAATGTTTTTGTGTTTTCCTGAAGCTGTTTTGCTTTTTGTATGGAGTTTATTATATGAATTTGCGGAATTTCCATACGTTTCACTGCGCAGAAAGCAGGAAATTAAATTTGAGTGACGCTAAATTGCCCAAATATTTTGTATGAATATGAATAGATAAATGTCTGAAAAGGCCGTTTCCGACGATCTAGAGGCCCAAATTTTAAAATTTTTTCTCGCTCGGCGCCAACCATGGTGGCGCCTCGTGAGCTTGCTACTCAGCCAATAGCATGACCAATATTTTTTTCCAAGCTACGCTACTGTAATGTACAGATAAAAATTGTCTATAATAATGAGTTTGTTCTGGGAATGAACGATATCATTGTAGTAACATATGATTTAATTTATGATTTAACATATGATTTAGTCAAACTATTGAGTTGACATGAGTCTTTTAAATACCTCCTTTTACCTCAAACACCTCCCAAATTTATTTTCCTTTATTTCAGCTATTATCAAAGATGTTTATCCGCGAAAACCATCCATTGTGTCGAAATACGCTCTACCAGTGATGAGGAAACTTCTCGAGTCTTCGAGCAGTGCATCGACTCGACTATTCGACTGGCAGTGGAAATATGAAGGGCCCGCAGTAATTGGCTATTCGCTGTTGCGGTCACCCAGCCGTGGTCATGGGTTATAGATTCATGTCTCGCTATTGCCTATTTATAATGCTAACCCTAATCCCCACCCTAACCCTAACCGCTAACCCTATTAGCGAGACATGAATCTATATCCTGGTCATGTACCTACTGTATTTCATTATGTACGTTTGTTTTTGTCCTGTCATGTAATGTACTGTTTCATCGGCAAAGTTTATAAATTTAAAAACAAAAAAAAAAATTGAAGGAAGCCGTTCACGGTTTGGCTAACCTACTTTATTCTTTAATGGGACAATGTCTGTTTGAGCAGGCTCAAGCAAAGTCGCACAGATTACGACAAAAGCTCAAAGAGCTATTGGATCAATGACTGGATCAATGATTGACAATCTGCTTTGTGAGCAGAGAATGCTGGAATGGGGTCCAGGCCAGCTTCCATAAAAGGCAATTACAGGCACACAGAAAATTCCGTCCCACCAACACGCTGAGCTTTTGCCGCGTTCGATCTGGTCACCATTAGCTCAGCTTCGGCCGTACAACAACAGTCAGAACGTCAAAACTGGCCGAATTGGGCTCATTGCTGCTCGGATATTTTGCTCCTGCATACGGTAAATTCTCTATTAAGACCCTCTCTTTTTCAGGCAATAATATAAGCTCCTATTCTTTAGGGGAAGCCTTTGGCTAATAACTTCCACGCTTATTTTGGAGGGAGAAATCTATAAGCCCGCGCCCATCCCTGGCCAATATCCAATTCGGTATTGGTCCACTCTCCAAGAAAGCCCTCTCCCTCAAGCGTGTTTGAAATAACTAATCCCCCCGGAGACTTGATATAGGATTTACCGTCGGGAATGGAAGGTGGTGGTCGCCTTTTATATAAAAAAGTTCCCTGGTGTTGAGAAGTTGTCTTAAAAGAGAGTTCTATAATATTTAATATATTAATAATGTTTTTAACATTTGTACATACACAATGCGTGAACATTTTAAAAAGAGTGAAAATTCAATTTGAATTTATACATGGCTATAGTTTAGCTGTAAACATTTTTATGCTGAAATAATTATACCTGTAAATATACTTTAGCAGTTGACCACAAATTCAAGACGTCCCACGAAGTGTTCACGTGGGTTGCCATTACTTTTTCCTCAAATTTGCCATTGACAGTTTTGGTGTTAGAAAAAGGCGTCAAAAATGGAGAAAAAAATCCTTAGCTTTTCCCAACAACAAGTAAAGGTGAACGTTTTTTGAAAAAAGTTGAAGCTATTAACTCCTTTACTTTTTCGCCATTTTTTTACCTTTTGAAAACTTCAAAAGTTGCCGAAATGGGCAAAAAGTTCAGAGGTTTAGCGTTAACTTTTTGTCGAATTTCAGCCTCGTTTTGAAAATGTCAAAAAGTGATTAAAATGGTCAAAAGGTAAAGGCCTTAATTTTTTGGCCATATTTTTCGCCAATTTTCGAAGGTTTTAAGAGGGTCCTGAAGGGGGGGTCGTATTCCCATTTCCCAGCCCAAATTTTGACAAAACTCCATTGTCCCAGAGCACAAATCCCATCATCTCTGTAGCTGTCCTGCTCAAATCTTAATCCCATTCCCATTTTCTATTGTTTTTTTTGCTGATGAATCCCAGTCCCAGTGCATGAAATCCCATTTTCCCACCCAAAAATAAGCAAATCCCAATTCCCATTTTACCCCTTCAGGACCCTCTTTTAATATCACTTGTTATTAGTTGCTGGGGCACCTGTGCCAGCAACTATAGGTTTTGGGTGAATTTGGTCTCCTCCTCCATGGATAGTCGCAAAATGGAAATTCCCACTGATCTATATACGAAGCAATACGTGCATACATTTTCGCTATTTTAACGGTCTTAAAGTCTTCGTAAGTGTATAAAGTGAACGTCAAATTGTTCTTTTAATCACGCTTTTTCTTCTGGGGGCTTTTTGAAAGAAATCCATCAAGAATATACAGAATTATGTCGACGTTTCACTATCGAGGAGTGGAGTAGATTGGGTCATTCCATTTATTATCCGCACCCCCCCTATGGATGAGCTCTGGTAAAAATGTTACCTGTAGGAATCGGATTTCAGAGAAGTACCCTGTCGGAATCGACAGTATCAATCTAAACCCTAGGAATGCTGCTAATTGCCAATATCTCACTGGTAGGAATCTGCTAATTGCCAATATCTCACCGGTAGGAATCTGCTAATTCCCAATGTCAGACCGGGGGGGGGGTGAGGATAATAAATGGAATGATTATGATTCTCATAATAAATATTTGGCAATATAGTATGCTACACCTCGACGGCAATATCTGACCGGTAGGAATCGGGCCGAAGGAATCTGCTAATTCCCAATATCTGACCAGTAGGAATCCCCTAAGTCCTAATATCTGACCGGTAGGAATCCGCTCATCCATAGGGGGGGTGCGGATAATAAATGGAATGACCCATTCCGAGGTGGATTAACTGACAATAACTGTTATTTATTCGTCGAACCGTTATTTCTGAACGTTTATATTTTTGTTTTGTGAAGTTTTACATCTATATACGCTTTAATATGGCTTATAGTCCAGGTTGCTCCAATAGTCTGCATAAAAATCGTATTTGTTTACATTGGAACTGTCATATTTGGATGCTAGCTCTATTTTTCAAGAAGGCTCAAATGTTGGCTGTTTTGAAGTGATACACGAGGTACGTGACACACAATCTTGGATTGGTATTTCTTAGATAGACATGTTTTTAATTGATAAACCTTGCAGCCATTGGCTGTATTTATATGTTAACATTAATACATAAGGTCCACTTATTATTCTGGTTATAGGACTGAACTATTAGCTTAAAAACTCACTTGTTCATGTTGTAAACTGCATCATGTATTCATGATTTTTACTTGCAACTCATTTGCTTATTTAATAGATTGCAAATTTAACAGGGGTCCCCTTGTTAAAAATTTCATGTCAATTTGTGAAGATTAACCTCGCAATATTTTGCAGATTGCAAAATTTATAATCTATCAGTAATCTGTACCTTACTATGATTTAACCATTTGATGATATTTATGTGGCTTTAACATGTAATAGCTTCAATATTTTGGAGTGTATTATTTGATGTTAAGCCCTTTAGTTAAAAATCACCAATTGAAGAACTGCTAGAACCAAAAGTGAATACTGGAACTATCCATATTTACCATGTTGCACCCTCAATGCCTGGTTACCCCACGTCTTGTCATCCCCTCCCCCTCTTTGTTAGCGATTCAGTTCTACACCACTGTCACTGACTGCTAATATAAAGTTATGTAAAATTTTAATGCCAATAGCTCAGGGAGTGCAGTGCTATGGGAAGCTGTTTTTGATTGGGGAACTGAAAGCAATGGCCAAAGGCCCGAGGAAAGTTTTAAATTTAGAGTCTTTGAAATGCCATTTCCTGAACTTTGGGAAAGATTTGACAGAATTCCGATGGTCATAAAACAGCATTTTAGTATGTCGAAATTTACAATTTCAAACAGCCCCCCCCCCTGGTTGCTACGGTCCTGGGGTGAAATATAACCACGGTCTATCGCATGCATCAGTTAGGTACAAAAAGCTAAATTCCGCACCAATAATCCAATATATGCGATTGTCCATATCATATAACCCTCTAAGTGGCAATGTACCCTCATGTGACCTACCTTATTATTTTACTGTGTCTAATGCCAAGGATTTTACGCATCAGGGAGAGAGTGCTGTCACTCAATGGGTTAATTCACAAACGACTCCTTAGTCCTTAACTGATAAACAATTTTTGTGTTTTAAAATTTGTTATAAACAAGTTAAAATAAAAATACACAAATCTGTATTTATCCTCAAATATGAATAAGGGGTTACTATAGCCCAAGGCCCAAGTATGTACACTTGTGCCACAGTACCAGCACAAAATGGGCTATTTCAGCTTTCAATTCTGCTGGAATGAGGTGATAAATTTTTAGCTTTGGAATTCCTCAGGGATAAGCAAATTTCTGTGTGGAATTCTTTGGGGGTAATCTGGTAATGGCTATTTTGAATGAGATTTTCTCAGGGGTCAAATGTAAAAATTTTAATTTTTATCCAGGGTCTCTCTTCATGGGTATTAACAGGAATTCTTCAGTGGATCTCTTTTATGACCTGTAGGAATTCTTCAGTTCAGCGATATGATGAACTCTTGTGCAACGGACCTGATTGTGAGATTCCACTTCATTGAAAGGACGACCTTAGGACGGACCATTAGAAAAGTGATGGGGGGGGGGAACCAAAAAAAAAATTTATTCCCAGGAAAAAGTTAGGGAAAAAAAATCTTCCCAGGCATAGTGCAAAAAAAATTCCTTTCTTGGAAGATAGACCTATAAATTTTAATAAAAAATATATATTTCCAGCCATCAAATGAGAAAAAAAAATTTCTATAGGTGTACAAAAAAAAATCTTGCCTCTTAGAAAATCCCCCCCCCCATCACTTTTCTAATGGTCCATCCCTTAGTTAATTAAATTTGCTGCTGTATACATTATGTCGCAACGTGTCACTATTTAATAAACTTATGTACAATTACAAATCAAGCCCACAAATCGTTGAATATACTCTTACCGCTCGTTGCAAATCACGCAGGCGCCTATTTAAAAAGCCCCAGCAACTTAACGCTCGAGAGAGCGTCTTGTTTGCATAAAATACGATTGCTGAATCAGAATGCATTAACATCTGATCAATAAGAATGCGTTAATAAAACTCGTGACTTCCAAAATTCGTGCAGGTTTATAGTCTTTTCGAAGCCAAACAACTCGATTTTGGCTTCTTTTTTTTCTTCTTGCTTAGCCTCGAAAAAAGGTTTGGCCTTTTTGGCTTCTTTTCGGCCTTTTCACTGTCACACAAATTTTGTGAAAATTTATTGATTATTTTGAAATGAAGCATTGACTTTTGCAGGTTGATGCCATTTTTACTCCTATTTACTCACAATTCTCGTTCGTGCGAAAACTTTGACTGATCCTGGATTTAGCCTGCGTCGCAGACGGTGGGTGAAACTTTAGAACTTACCGTTCTAAACACCCACTGTCTGCGACGCAGGCTACCTGGATTTTTTGAACAATAAATTGGATTTATTTTTTTATTTTTTGAACAATAAGTTGTTTGGCCTTTTTTGGTAGATTTTGGTTACTTTTTCAACGGCATTTGGCTCCGAGCATGCGCAAGCAATTTAAAATTTTTAAAATTATTAAAAATATAAACAAAATGTAACCACGAGTTCAACATTTTGACAAGAAGAACTTTATTAAACTTTTTCAAAATGGTTTTGCCGAACAGAAACGAAGCTAAAAGGTGGGCAATTCAGTTCGTGTTGTAGTTTAAGAATATATTTTAGCTGCTAGATATAAACATTGAATTAAAAATAACGATGTTATTTTTAGTTCAATGGATATTATTAATTATAAACTATATGTTGGTGGCCAGCTCACGTCTGATTTGAAATATATTTGTTCTTTGAAGATACAAATATATGGCTTTTCTCATCGACAACAATAGCAAGGTATTCATTATTCACTAAGAGGCATAGTCGGGAGTTTTTGTTGGGGAGGGGGGGGGGCAGCAAAGACCTAGGTGGGGCCAGGCTTCACTTATTTTTATAGAATAAATTTTCCCAGGCAGGTCCGCCGAGAGATTTTGCGGGGCCCGGGACAAGTCTTCTCTGGGGACCGTATGACATGATTATATTTTTAAGCCAGACCCAAATCAGTCACCCAACTAGACCTTA